GTGCCAATGTACATGTTTGTGCTGACGCCTCCATGTTTTCTTCTTACCAGGCAACAGGGACTTCACCCGTGCTAATGGGGAACGAGTCACATGCCATCGTTCGAGGTGTTGGTACGGTCGATCTGAAGTTTACTTCGGGGAAGACTGTGTGTCTGAAGAACGTTCATCATGTGCCGTCCATCAATAAAAATCTCGTTAGCGGTTCCCGTTTATGTCGAGATGGTTTTAAGTTGGTTTTCGAATCCAATAAAGTTGTAATTTCTAAGTGTGGACAATTTGTTGGAAAAGGCTATGAGTGCGGAGGCTTGTTCCGCCTATCTTTGTCAGATATTTGCACTAAAGTTATTAATAATGTTTGCCACAATAATGAGTCTGATATTTGGTATTCACGACTCTATCATATTAACTTTGGTTTCATGACGCGGTTAGCCAATATGAATTTAATTCCGAAAATCTCTACTGTCAAAGGCTCCAAGTGCCAAGTATGTGTGCAAGCTAAGCAACCTCGCAAGTCCCATAAGACTGTAGAGGCAAGAGACTTGGCGCCACTAGAGCTTATACATTCTGATCTTTGTGAGATGAATGGCATGTTGACAAAAGGTGGAAAGAGATACTTCATGACGTTGATTGATGACTCCACTAGATATTGTTATGTGTATCTTCTGAAATCAAAAGATGAGGCTTTGACTTTCTTTAAAAACTATAAAGCTGAGGCAGAGAACCAACTTGATCGAAAAATTAAACGGCTTAGGTCCGATCGTGGTGGAGAGTATTTTTCCAATGAATTTGATCTGTTTTGTGCGGAACATGGTATAATCCATGAGAGGACGCCTCCCTACTCACCCCATTCAAATGGGGTAGCCGAAATAAAGAACCAAACTCTAACTGATATGGTTAACACCATGTTAGACACTTCGAGTCTATCCAAGGAATGGTGGGGGGAGGCGCTAATGACTGCGTGTCATGTCCTAAACCGAGTTCCCACAAAGCATAAGACCATGACTCCATTTGAGGAATGAGAAAGGAAAAGGTTGAAACTCTCTTACCTACGTACTTGGGGTTGTTTGGCGAAAGTCAATATACCAATTCCCAAGAAGCGCAAGATTGGACCAAAAACCGTGGATTGTGTTCTTCTGGGCTATGCTTTTCATAGCATCGGCTATAGATTTTTGATAATAAAATCTGAGGTATCCGACATGCATGTTGGTACGATTATGGAATCAAATGATGCAACTTTCTTTGAGGACATATTTCCTATGAAGGATATGTCGAGTTCATCAAATCAGGAGATACCTACTCCATCTAGTGAGGAATTCACTGTAATTCCTGAACTCACCATTGCGATGGAACACATTGAGAATCCTGTTGAGGGTAACAATGGAAATCCTGTGAGGAGTAAGAGACAGAGGACTGCAAAGTCTTTTGGTGATGATTTCATTGTGTACCTCGTGGATGACACACCCAGGACTATTTCAGAAGCCTATGCATCTCCTGATGCTGACTACTGGAAGGAAGCTGTACGTAGCGAGATGGATTGTTGGAATTTTGCTAGTAGGCCTTTGGCCCAAAGCCCAACTAAAATTCTGAAATTCTCTTGGCCCATTCATGCACACATGTGAGTGGAGTGAGTGAGGCTAAAGTTTAGTCCCACCCCGGAAGTTGAGAGAGAGTTGCACCTCTTTATAAGGTGAGCTCTTCTACCACTTGTATGAGCATGCGAAGAGGAGACCTACACGCGCGCTCCTCCTCCTCGCCACGCCTCGTCACGACGCGCCGCGCCGCGCCGCGCCGCGGGTTGCGGGATTGAGCCGAGCCGAGGACAGAGCTATGCACGTTGTCTATATTTTTGCTGCATGGGAAAATTAATGAGTCATTAATTAATAATTAACGGACGCGTTAATTACTGACCGCCGCCGCTTCGTATGGTTTCTCACCACCGTTCCAGATCATTGCGCCGTCAAGCAAGTCTTCTCCATCCCTCCTTCCGGCGTGCACCGCGAGAAGGGACAGCAGGCCTCCGGAACCCCGCCTCTCGTGATCCTGTACGGGAGAGGGGCGATCAGGTTTTTGGGGAGCGCACTCGCGCGACTGCTGGCAGCGACGATTTTGCGAACGACGACTTCTTCCCCGACCTCGGCAACCTCGTCCTCGACGACATGGGCGACAACGTCAACACCGGCGGTGCTGCACCCGCTGCACCGTATGTGATTCTATCCTTCCTGTTCGAGATCGTGGTAGAATTCATGCTTCTAGTATGTGCCCTAGATGTGATATGTTCATCTGCTATGCTAGTTCGCATGATTAGTTTAATCTCTGCTGTTGTGGTCATGATTTATCTTCTATTTATTCGGATTAAATCTTGTAGTAATTTGCTCATATTTCCAACACATGGCGGAGCGCGGCCTCATCCTGAACCAGATGCAGACGGCAACGCCGACGACGCCGATGACGCAAGCTCCCGCGCCCACGACCACACGGACGCCAAGTCCGAACGACGCCTCTACATCGCCGTCCAGCAGTGCCGAAGCCGCGCCAACACAGCCCAGCACCGAAGCAGCTCCGACACCGCCGAGCCCGCGCACGCCGACTCCGCCAACGCTTGGAGCCGACCCCGCCGAGTGAATCATTGCGCACGCGAACTTGCGGCGTGCGGCGCTCTGTTTTTTGTAACGCCAGACTACGTCCGATCGCCGGATTTGTGGCGTCTTTTGAGAGCGGGAACGATCAAGTTTAAATTTTCCGCATCCTGGGGCCGGCGCTTGGGGGCGTGACTGGGAGCTAGGTCGCCCCCAGGGGCCGAACTAGCGCCGGCACGCCCCCAGGCCGCTCTATTTAGGCGCCCTGGGGGCCGAACGGCTGGAGATGCCCTAAACCAAACCAGTGGGAGGAGTATTTTTCAGGTGGATGACATATGTAAGATTAAAGACTAGAAGTGCTTAGATCCCAATTTTTGTTTTCGCATGAAGAGGCCGGAGGAGCTAGGAGCGTCTCGGAAATGTAGTTTACACATTTTTTTGGTTAAGAAAAGTGTAAACTACATTACCTAAAATGCAGTATAATGTTGTTTCCACTTTTCACTACCATAATAAAGGGCGGGAAAAATTTCATTGTGGCCTGCTTAGAGCATCTACAACCACACCCCGTATCCGCCACAAATGCCCGCCTGCCTCGTCATTGTCTAGATGAGAAATTGTCACCCAACTGGGCGCCCCGTATTCGGTCCAAACGTCTGGACTGACCGGCAACCCCATATTCAGCCAATATGTGGGGCAGATATAGGGACGCTCGGACGCATCCACCATGCTGGATCCGACCCACTCTGGCCCATCCGACCTCACATAAATTGGATCCTATCCGCACTCCGGACGAACCTTAGCCGCATTCCACTCCACTCCACTCCCCTCCCCACCCCTCCCCTCCGGCCACAAACTCCCGTCCAGCGATCTCCCACCTTCTTTGGCATGGCGGCATCGGATGCGAGTCCTACACCTTCAGATCCGTTGACCCAGAGCTCGTCCCACGTGGCCCCTAGGAGGAGATTGCCTTCTGCCTTGCTCTGCGCCACTCCCGGGAGGAGGCTGGCCGACATCAGCGGTCGAACTCCTTCCGACAGGAATCCATTGCGTCCACCCAAATGGCGCATGGATCTTGCGCGAGGCGTGCCGCCGCTGCCTCACCGAAGGCAGTGCAGTCCTTTTAGCGTCCGAACGCGGTGGCGGATGTGCAACCACTTCATTTGGCGCGCCGGGGCAAGTATGGCATGTCGTGTCTGCCGTAAAAGGCAGCAGGTGTGGGAGGCGCCGGCAGCCCTCCCGGTGGACATTGGCGAGGTGAGTCACACTCTCCGACGCCGCATATGGTTCACGGCCACCACAGGTGCCTCAACTGCATCGTGATGGGCGTGGCCGGCTCCGACCTCGACGGATCTATCATCGATGTCTCGTCCACCGGCGAAGTGCAGGCGACGGGTTCCGACGAGGAAGAGCAGGGCATGGGAGATGGCGGTGACTCGAGTTCCGTGAGCCGGTACGTGTCCCATGTCCTACTGTACCTTTGCTTGCGACCGGAGCAACACTTCGAGCGGCGCAGACGGCTGCCGGACATGCGCACGACGGAGCTGCACGAGGTCCGTTTAGATTAGGTTTCACGTGTAATAATAATAAATATGGATGTGATGATTTAAAAATGGGATATTCGACCTGCTCCGCACAAGAGAAAACACATAGCAAAAAAGCCAGTTTTTAAGAAAAGACCATCATGGCTAGCTTTATTAATAACCTTACTAAGCAATGTTTTTGCACGGTTTGCGAGGGTACCTAGTAAAAACTTGGAAGGATCATGGTCGCAGGTACAAGACGGTTTATAATTTAAAAAAACAGTTTGCACATTCGTTTCCATTTTTCTAAGGCTCTAGAACATGGCTCTGGAACCGGTGGTCCATGTCGACGCAGCAAAGGCAGGCAGGCAGGGCAAGGAAGAAGAATGGAAACCTTCCCCTTTCGGTCCACGTTTGTTGGCTAGCGTAGGAGTGAAGCTGGGAGGAATCCCGGCGCTCGCTCGCTCGCTTTCCTTTTCGCCCGCCCGATTCGCTCTCGCTGGGCACGAACCAGGTTTGGTTGCCCGAGTTGGGCAGGCAAACCCAATTCTGTTCCGCACGCACAGCCGCACCGCCCTGCGTTCGGTAGCACTGTGCTACTGTTTTTTCAGATTTCTTTCTCTCCATTCCGCGCAGGGAGAAAATATCAGGAGCGAGCGAGCGAGCGTCAGCTGGTGGGCCGCTGGCACGAACGAGTTGCGTTATATATAAGCGGAGGTGTACAGTACAAGCATCGACCATCTCCGGCTCGCTCGTCGCCCACCCCCACCCTCTCATCCTCCCTCCCTCCCCCGACCGATTTTGACGACTCCTTTGACCTCTCGCGCTGTCCCTCCCCCGCCCCGCCCCGCCTGCGTCGCCGCGCCAAGCTCCAGGCGCCCCCGCCCCCTGGTCGGTGGATTCCATGGCCAACAGCAACCTCCCCCGCCGGATCATCAAGGTGCGTGCGATTCCGATCGCCCCCTCCCTCCCGCCAGATCTGTCCTCCGTTTCGCTTGTAAAATCTGTCCGCGCCGCGCGCCTAACCCTTTCCGAATTTGGATCTGCGCCTGCAGGAGACGCAGCGGCTGCTCAGCGAACCAGGTACGTTCCCTTTGATAGAATTCGGGTGGATTTCGGCTTCTCCGTTGCCGGCGTTCGGGTGTAGGATGTTGTTTCTGATTCCTGTTTCCCGATCCGTCCGTGCGTGCAGCGCCGGGGATCAGCGCCTCGCCGTCGGAGGAGAACATGCGCTACTTCAATGTCATGGTCCTTGGCCCCGCGCAGTCGCCCTACGAAGGCAAGATAGATATATGCCTTTTTTCTCCATAATATAATATATCGTTTGTTTCCCCTGCTGAAATAGCGTGTCTCCCAGTATCATCTATGTGCTTTCTATCCTGCAATGCTATGGGGGTACACGGATGTATGGTGTCGGTGTCCTTCCTCGACTGCAATTGTTGTTGCTGTATTCTGATTACTTGTATTATTATTATGTTGTATCTGTTTGTGGCCTTTCTATGTGCTATCTTCTGCTTGTAAAAATTTCTGCAGATGTGTTGTAAACCAGCATAGATGGTAATTGATCACATAGCGCCGTTGCTCTAGTGATGCCGCAGCTCTACACCTGTAAACCTATGTTGTCTGAGTACTGAATAGCTTAGATTGGTAGTGTCACCATCATGTGCTGCCTTATTTCCATTTTGTTTTGGTTCATCCTGGTGGTTGTCGTGCTCCTAGTGTCCTTGTAAGACAAGTTTACATATCCGTTGTAAGAACTGTTATTACATATACATATTGAGCTTGCGCTTTGTTTGTTATACACCAAAAAATTGCTTTACATGTCCATTCTGGACGGTCGTCACATAGGACTGCAGGAGCTGTATTGAACCTGCTTTCGACTTGTACAAGTTATGCCACATAGGAACATCACCGTTTGCATTTACGCCTGCTATAAGTGTACTCATGATATGTGGGACAAGTTTTGATTCTTTCATGCTAGATCTATGACAATGTCATATTAATCAATTGGCCCATGCAAATTGACCATATATTGGTATCATAAATGTTGCGTGTGTAATTAATAAATGGCAGAAATAACACCTTGTGTTCTATTGTTGGATGGAGAGTACCATTTGTCACTTAACTGCTTAAGCTTATGGTGCACTCTAATTTTAATGGTGACACTTTTATGGCAAGCCACAAATTGTCTAAGCTTAGCTGTGGCAAAACTAGTCTTGAAAACATGTCCTTAGTTCACTTGTCTTGCCACTTGGTACGTCATATCTGATTATGTTAGACATTTTTATTAGGGCAAACATTTCTTTTCCTTATTCGTCTATATCTGGTGTCCTGATTTTGTTTCTTCTGCCATGTCTTGGACAGGTGGAGTCTTCAAGCTTGAACTTTTCTTACCCGAGGAATATCCGATGGCTGCTCCTAAAGTAAACTTTTATTTATCGAGAATAAGTTAGTTTTGGTTTAAAGAGCTATTAGTTGAAACTTATAGTACTGTGATGGATCATGGATGTGCTTGTCTTGGTGAAGTTCTTGATGTAAATTTCGGTTGTTTCATAGTCGTCATCGCGAATCACTATTTTCGAATTCTATCACGGTGATCTTGGCAAAGTTTGTATGGCACTAAAATTCGATAATAGGAATGGGCTGCCATCTCCTTCTCCTTTGCCTGGTCTCCTTCGTACTTATGCCCGTGGCTAACTGAACTGAGAAAATTGTTTCTGTTGTAGTAAAGAACTATGCTGCATAGTTATTCCAACAACCATAATACACAATGAAGTTGGAATGTGACATCACTATGCGAATCTTCCTGCTATGTTTCTATCTTGTTTCATTCATGTATGTTATTTACATCTGTTGCGTGGTGCCATTGCTTGTTCTTGAGATGTTCTATTCTTTGACTTGCACACCATCATGGTGACCAGGAATACGGCGATAGTCAGTAGTAGCATCCTGCTAATTCTTGTAATTTCAATACCAGTAAATTTGTCTTTCTGTTCACTTCGTTCATCCTCTGTACAGTGTTCATCACTTTACTTATTTGGCAGTGTTATATGGAACTCTCTGTACATGTGAATCGTAATATAACGAGTAACATCTCAGAATGCCAGTTGCTATCATGTTAAATAAGAGGTACCCGTGTAGCTGAGAATCTAGTTGTGGTTTGCGAAGTATTGTCTCTTTTCTGCAATCTTTTCTATTTGTTGTCACTGTTGTGTGAGGCTTTCTGATGGACATCATTCTTTGGTTGTTCCTGATGCAGGTTAGGTTTCTCACAAAAATATACCATCCCAACATTGACAAGGTATGCAACTGATATTATTAGCGGAACACCATTTTGAAAAAGAGCATCTCATTTCTGATGGATGTAAACTGCAGCTTGGTAGAATATGCCTCGACATCCTAAAGGACAAGTGGAGTCCAGCTCTTCAGATACGCACTGTTCTTCTTAGGTAACCACTGCTGACTTCCATTGCACCTTTGCCAAGTACTTCCATTGCACCTCCCATAATGTGTGTCAAAAAACATCTTACATTATGGGACGGAGGGAGCAGTTTTGTGGTAGTTGACATATCATGCCTTCATGGTAAATATCATACTATCGTATTTCCAGAGGGATGTTTCTGGTATTTCTATTGTCGACGATGTTAGTGTACTACTTCACTGCCACTTGACAATATTTCGTCTGCAGCATTCAGGCACTGCTGAGCGCCCCAAACCCAGATGATCCCCTCTCAGAAAACGTCGCAAAACACTGGAAATCCAATGAAGCTGAAGCTGTTGAGACAGGTACGTGGAGACGCTGTCAATAAAGCTACACGCTGAAACTGTGTTTTATGCTCCACTATCCATTTTCTTGATACCCACCTGACATGCCGTTTTCCTCCATTTCTGATTTTTGTGATATCTTAACATATCATTTCTGCACTTTGCAGCGAAGGAATGGACTCGTATGTATGCCAGTGGCGCATGACAAGCTAACGCTGTTATGGATGTAATAACACCGTGTCATAGTTGGGCCTAATCGAAAACCATTTGCTTGATAAAAACACACTTGAAATGATTTGCGATGGACGAATGTATCCAGAGCGGCATCATTTCTAGTTGGTGGTTGTATTTGTGGTGCGTGTTCTGGCACGCTTCATAACTTGCTGCTTATAGAACATGCTCTGTTTCTCGTTCATCTTCAATTGTTTCTCCAATTAAAAATATCTGTTATGATCCGAGTATGTAATCTCTCCAAATGATAATAGTGGCTCTCTGTTTGTATTTCTCCCCCAAACACCTTCGATGATTTGGTTTTCTTTTGGATTTTTTTTAGTAATGTTCAATATTTTTTTTTTCAATCTCCAGTTGCTTTGGTTACTTTTTTCCTCCCTTTTTGGTGTGCTGAACTGCACATACTTATGATTTTCCAAATCAAATGGTTAATGTATGAATCTCAGTGAGCAAGATAGGTTCTGAATTAGGTAAAGTGGGGAGTGGTATCCCTGTTATACTTTTTGCACGTTCTTATGAAGATTGTAGATCAAACCCAGGTAAGACATCATATGCAAAAAAACTATTTGGACTTCATACCAAAATGTTCAGATTTTTTAAAGATAATCACAATAGGTTTAAATAGTGTTCACAGTTTTAGAACATGTTCTTTTTTTGAAAGTATTTCACAAATAGTTCTCAATTTTTGAAAAAGCATTTTTGAAAGAATAAAAAAAAATACAGAGAAAAAAGAAAAACAAGTCTCTATAGTATGTTCACTATACGGGCCAGCCTAGTCGGACGCACCCTGTTTGATTGGCATATGTATATATAGGTTGGGTTTAATATTATTGAATATGTAGTCATTGCTACTGAAAGTTCAGCAAACAAGGATGCAAGTCTAAGGAAAAACAAATGGAGGGGAGGGTCGTTTTGGCTCTTGGGTGTATGCGCTCCCTAATGAACAGTAAATTCAAATAAATAGTAAATAATATTTAAAAATTCTGATTTTTTTGTAGATGTCCTTGTTAGTGTAACAAGTGTGGTTGCCAATTTTCATGTGAAACGGGATGACGGTGCTTCATCGGTGAAAAAAACAAATATAAGTGTAACATTTGTTGTTCGACTTGTTTTGTTTTGCACATATCAAAATACTTAAACTTTCCTCCTAAAAATTTGCAGGTAGCATTTTGGTGTAACAATGATCACATCTATTTTGTTTTCATTTTTTCTTTTGATATTTGAAAAAAACATTTTTGAGGGTAGGAGCATATGCTCCCAAGAGCCGAATTAACGCTTGGTTTGACTAAATGGTGGCCGAACGTATAAGGGCGCTCCTTATGGGTCGACCCCATTGAGTGTGTGGCATGGTTCGCCTTACCCAACGATACGTATGGTCTTTTCACGATTTTCTCTTCGGTTTTAGGTTTTTAGCTGGTTCTAGTTACTTTTCCATGTCTATTTTCAAAATGTATTATGAAAAGAAAATCACAAATGAAAAAAGATGCATGGACTCTAGAAACCTCCACTTGTTTACATCTTAACTTTGGTGATGTTTAAAGATATGAAAAGGGAGGGGCGGTTTGGCTCCCAGGAGCATTTGCTCTTGGATGAACAGTACCGCCAGAAGGTGGACTAATGTTTTCAGAAAATTCTGTTTTTTTGGATGTTTGCGTTAGTGTCGCAAGCATGCCAGGCAATTTTAATGCGAAATGGAGCAGTAGTGTTTCGTCGATGAAAATAAATAAATTTTGGGTGACATTTTGGGGTAAAATTTGTTGTTCAATTATTATTTTTGCATAGGCCAAAATGTTTAAACTTTTTGCCTAAGACTTTGCAGGTACCATTTGGATGTGAATGTAAATACATAAAAAATTGCTCAGATTTTTTTGACATTTCAAAAATTATTTTTTCCGCTCGGGAGCAAATACTCCCGGGAACCAAATTGGATTTTCGGAAAACAGATACAAACACTTGTATATATATGCAACTCAGCTAACTAGTACTAACTTATAGATGCAAAGACATGTTATTCTGTTTATTATTATTTTATTCTCCAGAGACACTGGATATACCTCTCCCACCCCCACCAACGCAAAGAGGCAATATCTAAGAAACAACTAACATTTTTTCGGTTTGCAATAATAATTTTCAATTTAGCATTTATTTTTAGTATGGTACTCCCTCTGTAAAGTAATATAAGAGTGTTTAGATCACTACTTTAGTGATCTAAACACTCTTATATTAGTTTATGGAGGGAGTACTTTTTTTCTCCATGTTTTCCTGCATTTATTATATTCTAACCTTTTAGTCTAATAAGAACTTATAATAGTTTAAAGCACATGTTGAGCGATTGGGTCATAAAAAGTAAAAAATTAAAATAAAATAATGCAAATACATGATAGTTGTTTGTTAATTCACTAGCTGACATTTTATTTGAGAAACTCAGTCGATTACCATGGAGTAGAGTATCTAAAGCTAAAGCTAGTGGCAGAATCTGTTATAAAGTCTTGAGTCATTACATCTTCCTGTTACATGCACATGTATGATTTAAGACTTTATAACTCCGCCACTTATAACTCACTCCGTCACTAGCTTTAGATACTCTACTCCATGGTAATTGACTGAGTTTTTTTTTTAAACAGAGGCAAAAGATTTACCTCATTCATTAATTAAGAAGGAGAGTTTTGAGTACATGAGAACTGGCTTAACAACATAGCCCCTCAACAAAAGGTGCAAACGAATTACTCTCGCGGCATGATGATGCTCAGATGTCTAGCCCCCGCGGTGACCCACGTCCTGGCCTCCTCCTGGATGAGTTTTAGAATGTAGTGTGGCGGCGTCGATTTCTTCTGGAAGACTCTAGTGTTTCTCTCATTCCAGATGACCCAACATACAAGCATGGTGAGTGAGGCTATGGCCTTCCTGTTTGTTGTATTTGGTTTGGACATGCTTGTCCATCAACACTTGATGGTGCGTTCCGCCCCCCCACCTATTCATCTCCAGCACCCCAAGTCCAAGCCATGCTTTGACCATTCTCCAAATACGCAGGGTAAACCGGCATTTAAAGAAGAGGTGACCGGATGTCTCGTTGGCCCTCCTGCAAAGGGCGCATAGGCCACAATTCTCCCAACCCCTCTTCTGCAGCCTATCCACAGTCCATATCCTGTTTTGGATGGCCAAGCATGAGAAGAACTTGACCTTGGGAGGCGCCCAAACCTTCCAGACGGTCTTGTTCATGATTGTGGAGGTGGAGCCCAAGAATTGTGCCATATAAGCAGAGCCTGCCGAGTATCTCCATTTGCCTCAAATTTCCAAGTGATGTCGTCGTCAACGTCCATTTGTAATTGTATGCCTAGAAGCCGCACCTAGAGATCCACAAACTGGACAATGTGCCCCACCGTGAGGTCGGTAGAAGGGTTAATCTTGTGCACCCAAGCCTTGTCGCGCATGGCCTCCCTCACACACCATTTTTTTCGCTTGCAGGCCGCAAAAATGAGTGGGGCAATATCCTTTGGCCTTTTCCCTCCTAACCATGGCGCTTCCCAGAAAGGTGTCTTCCCTCCGTTGCCCAAGGTGATGACTGTGGATGCGTAGAAAAGGTTCATATCCACCTCGGAGCATGGGTTGCCCAGGCCAACCCACAACTTAGACAGGTCCTTCCATGCCATCCAGGGCCATCTCATCCTGAGAGCTCTCGCAAATTTCCCCAAGTGGAGTATGCCAAGCCCACCTAGCTATGTAGGGCGGCAGACTGTCTCCTAATTGACCTTGCATTTTGCTCCTGTAGTTGTGTCACTAGCTGACCACAAAAAAGCCCGCTCAATCTTGTTGATGCTTTGCAGCACACCAGGGGGGACTGTGAGCGGGGTGATGTGGTAGACAACTTGTGAGGTGAGGACCGATTTCACCAAGGCCGCCCGCCCAATGGTGGTAATGTTCCGCCCCTGCCAGGGGGACAACCTCGCCGCAACCTTATCCTCAAGGAGTTGAAGTCAACCCTTTTGAGCTTCCAAATCGAAAGGGGGAGGCCCAGGTACTTCATCGGGAAGGATGTCCGCATAGCAGGAAGGCTGGCCAGAATGTCATCCAGGTTCATGTGACCACACCGAATATCAACTACAGAGCTCTTTTGAAAGTTGGTTGACAGCCCGGTGACCTCGCTGAAATATCTGAGGATGGCAGCAAGGTTATGGACGTCCTCCCGCGTCGATGAGATGAAAATTGCTGCGTCATCAGCATAGAGGGAGGTCCGAACAAGCGATCCCCTCCCTCGAAGCTTGTGTAGGAGGTTGTGGTTCGTCACGACATCGAGGATCTGCTGCAGCGTGTCGATTGCGATGACGAAAAGCAAGGGAGAGAGAGGGTCTCCCTGCCTAAGTCCACAACCATGGAGGATCGGGGGCCCGGCAATACCATTGAGAAGAACGCATGACGATGAGGTGCAGAAAAGGGCAGCAATCCAATCCCGAAAGCGGTCCGGAAAGCCCAAGCGACGAAGCAGGTCCAGGATATATTCCCATCGCACCGAGTCGGAGGCCTTCCGAATGTCCAACTTGAAAAGCAAGGATGGGGTCTTGTTTCGGTGCAGTCGTCGTGCAAGGTTTCTGACGTACATGAAGTTGTCATGGATGCTTTTTTTATGAAAGCACTTTGCGCGTTGGAGACCAAGTTGTTCATGAATGGGGCAAGACGAACAGACAACACCTTGGCAATGATCTTGGCGATAGCGTGAATGAGGCTGATGGGGCGGAAGTCCCCAATCCTTCCGCCCCATCCTTCTTCGAGAGTAAGACAATATTTGCCGAGTTCAGCCAGTGTAGGTTGGACGTTTGTAGGTTGCTGAATTGATGAATAACTCGCATGACATCGTCCTTGACAATGGGCCAACACTTCTTGAAAAAAACGGCCGTGAAGCCATCCGGCCCTGGGGCCTTGTCGCCCGGCATGAGGTTAATGGCAGCCATGACCTCATCATCAGTGATGGGGGCATCA